ACCAAATTAAAAGCCAAATATTAGTAGCTGTGTCGTAATTAAAATTATATTAAAAATCATCCCTAACTAAAATCCTCCCTAGGTCAGGCCCGCTTGCTGGAAAAGCCATGTCTTGAGGGCGCGGCGGAAAGTAAGGAGATCCGGAATCATCCGGATCTCGGGGGGTAGTTCGTTCCAGAGGGTGGGGGCACCCACAGAGTGCTTGTCGGAAGCTGGCTGGGAAGGTCAGAAATCACAGCAACCTGTACACAAAGCGCTCCAACCTTTGTAAATGTGAGCTGAATTACAACCAAGTGATTGTGGAGGTGATGCAAGAGTTGTAACTTTGAGGAAGGCTTATCGGTCACTTTCGCTGAGGCCATCATAACTTCGAGCCATTGTTAAATTAACAGTCAAGGTGAGCGGAGGACTACGTGTGAAGAATATTCCTGCAATCCCTACCATTTCTTGACTTTGCCTACTGCAAAGTTGACACACATTTAACTTTAAGTAATTCTATATGAAAATAAAATGAAATCAAAATTGACTCTGGTCTTTATCCCAATTACTACTTTTCAGTATTGTTCCTGCTTCTTGAGACCCAATTTGGTATAGTGGTTAAGCCTAAGGTATCAGGCTAGAAACTAGAAGACCATAAATCCAACTGGTAACCCTGAACCAGTCACTCTCTCTCAGCCCAAGGATGGAGGCAATGGCAAACCATTCTTAAAACCTTGCCAAGAATACTGCAGGGGACTTGCCTGGGTAGTCACCAGGAATCAAGACTGATTCAAAGGCACATATGTGCACACACAACACTCTGCTTCTTTGCATATCTCTCAAAGTATGCCAAATGAAAATGAAAGAACAAAAGCTATTTATTATAAGGATCCTGTACTAAGAGAAAATAAACACGATAGGCCTGAAAGCTGCCTTAAAGGAAGATAAAAGTGAATTTGAGTAGTCTGCAAAAAGTTAAAAGGTTTATATATATATAAAGGTAACATCATTGAGAAAGGTCTCTCTCTCTCTCTCTCTCTCTCTCTCTTTTTTTTCCTGCAGCACGGAGGTCTGAAAATTTTGCCTTCTGCCTCAGAATATTAAAAATTGCTTATTTCTTTACTAAGAAATCTAAACACATACTTTGCAAATTGTCACCATGGTTTGAATGTCAGCTGCCCCTTAGAGAGCAAAACCTGACATTTAAAGAAATAAAACCTTCAAGCTTCAGTTGAAAAGCAGGCTTGCAACCACAACATGACAAACTTTAAATAACAAGCAACTCAAGTTATGTGAAGGGTTTCTAATGCCTTACAGATCTTTAATATCCATCAACCTGCAGAAATTTCTCAAGCTTTTTCATGGTGTTCCAAGAAATATTACCCCTCAACTGACACTGCATTATGCAAACTATATTACAGAGGCAAAGCTATGTAAATACTTTCAATCTGAGTTTGACTCCTATGCATCCATGAAACTTTTGTGGCATTAACAATAGATATGGTTTGTCACTGCTTTCTTTCAAGATGTTTTTTGGGCGGTGGGGTGAAGGATTTGATCTCCCAAGCTAGACTATGGTCTACCCAAATGCTAACCAGACCTAAGCCTACTTAGCTTCCATAGCAGTCAAAATTGGTCAGGCACTGCCACCTGCTGAAACCATAAAAGAGGTACAAGACATAAACATTTAAGTGGAATATTATGTGATTTGAGTCCCCCCCCCCCAGAGCAGGGCTTTTCAACCTTTTCACAGATTGTATCACTTGTAGGACATGACAATACTCGAGTACCACCAGTGTTTAGCAAGGTGTCAAAAACTTGAGGGAATTTTGGGTTTTACTGATTAGATTGATTTGTTGTTATAGAAATGGTTATACTATTATGGAAAAGTAAAAAGTTGAGGTTCAATGTTAATGCTTCCTTCTACTGCAACAGAGGAAGTTGGAAGTCAATGCCTTTTCTTTTCTTTTTCCCTTCTCCCCCTCACTTTTCTTTCCCTTTTTCCTCCCCATTGTGTACTACTCTTTGCTTTTGTATTTCTGTATTTTATTCTATAATGTAACAATATGTTACAAACTGTAAAAAAAAAAAGGGGGGGAAGTACTGGTTTAACTCCTTCTTTTATATCCTCTCTTCTCTCCCCCCCTCCTCCTCCTTTTATATCCTCTCTTCTCTCCCCCCCTCCTCCTCCATTTCTCTTCCTGGTGCGCTGGAAGCGCCTATCAGCTGGAGCTGCACATGCGCCCCGTCAATATCGCAGCTCCAGCCGAATCTGCGCCCAAAGACTGTGTGCAGCTGCCGCGTGCATCAATCCTGAGCTTTCAGCAGAGCCCCAGTAACACAGCAGCTCCAGTGGACTCTCCTTCCAGGCCTCTCTGGCGCTGCCGCCGCTTCAGCTCATCCACTTTTTTTTACTTTTTTTTATAGTGCTTTTCAAACTGTTGTATGCGTACCACCTGCCAGGTGCCAACCTGCCTACCACGGGTTGAAAAGCCCTGCCTTATAGTATAGCTTAATTGTTAAGTTGTTTAAGAGAGCTGAACAAATAAGGCAAGTACTATTACTCTAAAAAAAAGGCTGAGAAGCAAAAAAAAAAAAAAGCAGGTTAACTTTTTGAAACTCACCAGCAATGTCCCATAGCTGTAACCTCACTGTCTCAGACTCTGACCATTGCACCACCTTCAGAGCAAAATCCACTAAAAGCAAACACAGAAAATGAGAGAGGAAAAAGCATGCCATTTATTGCTTACAGTACTTTCTTTCACACTTCGCATCAATGCCGATTACCCAGTGTGTACAGATACTGGTACTATAAAATACATTGTCTACTGCATGAGCCACAGCACTTCCGACTTCATGGGGAAAACCTTCGTAAATTACAGTGAAGAACAGTGAAAACAAACAGCCCCAACTGTATTTCCTTTAAACTGCCTGGGTACTGCTCACTGCAGGACAACCATTAGATTCTCAAAATTGGTGGAGTATATTAAGCAATTTTAACTTGAGGGGATGGGCACACCATATAGAAACAGTTTGAATGGCATATGCATTATGATCTCTACCAGCACTGATCTTAAATGGAATAAATTTCAAAATGACCCCAATTTTTGGCAGCAGCACATATTTCTTATTTATTTTAAGGTAAAAGCTGCACATGTTTCTCAAGACAACTTCTTGCAACATTCTTCCTCCATTAGTACACAATAAGTGTACCAACACAATCTTATCTGTTTGAAGCACCATTGTTTCTATGAGTGATTAAATAAGTCTTCTACTTAAATGTTAACATTTGAATCTTTCCAGAAAAACTTAGATGAGCAGCTGTGACTCATTATGTCAACTGTCATGACTATCATCATATAAGACAAGTAAATTCTAGATATATTCTAGTACAGAACCACAATTTTATTCAGAAGTGTGCTACCTCCAATTAGGTAAGGAAGGGCAGATGAGTAAGTAGGAAGGAAGGACTGAACAAGCAGACTGAATGTATCTTTTCCTCCAAAGTGTGCTAAAAGTTTATACACATTATTTATGTGTTTGATTTATATAAATACTCACTTCACTTTTGTGTGGCTGTAGGTAGCTGCCAGCCTTACAAGTTAGACCACACAGATGAGCTGATTCTAGTTTGCTATAAAGCTTCATTAACAGAAACTTGCAAGTCTGAAAATACTGTACATCTATCCCCA